GGCGGGCGGGCCGGCGAGTGCGGGCGGATCTGGGCGGGCGCGGCGGCGCTGGTCGCCCCTTCACTGGTTCATTTCGACGTCCATCAAGCACAAAGGGGCAGAACACGGAGCTTGGGACAATTCTGATTCGGCCTGAACTGGAGTACGCCACTTATGACGCGCGCGGCCTCGATTATGTAAAGCGCAGTCACGCGGGGGCGCCACTAGGAGGTACCTTCCCCGCCGGGGACGTCGGAAGCTCCCAGGCTCCTCCCACTTCGCTCTTTGTTCCCGCCCTCGCTCCGCCTCTCCCCTGATGCGATCGCAACTGCACCTCTCGCGATACCTTAGCGGAGTTGTGATGTTTTGGTTTCCATGGAGCTGCCGTCTGGGAGTAGGAGGGGTGCGGTTGCGCCAAGAGCTGCGCATTGTTGAACTAGAACTCGAGCAAGATTCCGAGCCTGAGAAAGGTGGGGGGCTTGTGAGAGAACTCCACCATCATCTGGACAGGAGGGGCCCGCACTAGGGAGGGAGAAGAGGAAACCATGAGAAACAACGTAAAAGGGGTGCCCTCTGTCTGAGATCCCTAAAAAGAGGGGGGGACTGTAGGATCGTTGACCTCCAGAGAGAAAGGGGGAAGCCCCAGAAACAGGATCCCTGTGTTGAGAAAGAGGGATGCTAGAGTGATGACAGCCGCTCCGGGACGAAGTAGAAGAATACTAAGGCGAGGCTCTCCACCCCTTACAGTCTTTCCGCTCTGGTGGCCTCCCTCAGAGTGCGATGCAATTGGCCCAAGGCCTGCTTCCTACTTTGTGTTCCCAGTTGCACCCCAGCTTCTCTTGCAGACAACCATCTGGGCTTTCCCGGCTGCCCCTGCCCCCTCCCCACCCCCACCCCACCCCCCAAGGCAAGCCACACCCTCCTGGCTACTCTGCCTCTCTTCAGCTTTCAGCTTGGCACACATAGGGGCTGCCCAAGGAATTATGAACTTCTTGTTCTTGAGACTTTGGCAAAACTTCCTGCAATACTGACCTTTCCAAGTGCCTGCCCCGTAGATGCTCCTGGGCTTAGATTATTTTTGGTTCTGCCAACCACCTATACAGTACTAATTGCAGTTTCCCTTCAACGTGCATTTTTTAACAATTGAGGACGCACTTATAGTTTCTAAATCCCTGGCCCAACAAAATTTACTGTCTCTGAAACCCAAATGCAGCCCCTTTCTTGGGGGGGCTGCCCAAAGATGCGTGTTAATCAAAGGTTTAGGCTCTGGGGTCAGAAAACTAAGTATGGTTCAAAATCCCTGTCCCACATTTACTAGTTATATAACGTTGGACTTACCACTGAACTTCTCAGGGCCTCACTTTCCTCAATTGTACAACCAGATCATTGTGAGGATCAAAAACAGTACCTGGAAGGTAACGGGAAGCTACTTAATAAGTTTGGTGTTTTAGTTTCGAGTGATGGAAATGTTTTGGAACTAGATAGAGGGAGTGATTGTATAACATTGTGAATGTACTAATTGCCACTGAATTGTTCACTTTAAAATGTTTAATTTTATATTATGTGAATTTCACCTTAAATCATTAAAAAAAAATGTAGCCTTTGTAGGCTCAGGAGCTAGACTGCATGGTTTTGAATCCCAGCTCTATCGCTTAGAAGCTGTACTACTTTGGTCACATTAACAACAAAATAAACAGACCAGAAACAGTACATGGAGGTTGGTACACTAGGTAAATGTTCATTATTAGAAAGAAAACCTGTGTTTCTTATTAGGGAAATGCTGGTGGATTTGTAAACACAGCATCCCTTCTACTCACATACATAACCCCACCCTGGGCTTTGGGCCTCTCTGTGTTCCGGTTCTGATCTCCAATGTATTACCAGTTTTGTAATTGCCTATTTACACATTTTTCATCCATCAGACTATATAGCATTATGGAATAGAAGGACCATATCTTGGTTGTCTCTGTATCCTCGTTACCCAGTTCAGGGTGAATTGATCCCTTCTTTCAACAGATCCTTACTGAGTATTCACTATGTACCAGGTTCTGGCTTAGGCACTAGGTGCGTAAAACTGATGTGAATCCTGAGCTCGTGAAGCCAAAAGTCTAGTAACAAAGATAGTCAAATAGCGAGGACTATGAATGATGAGACGTACTGCAGGGATAGAGAACAATGTTGGGGTGCAGGAGAAGGTAAGGGGAGTCACCTGGGTAGAGAAGGCCAAGGAACAGTTTTCTGAGGAGGTGCCAAGATGTCAAGGTCAAGAAGAACTTAGCCATATGACTTAGCCAAGAATGTTCTGGGCAGAGGGAAAGCTGAACAGCCTGAAGTAGAGTAGAGCTTGGCATGTTTAAGAATGAAGAAGAAGCTACTATAGTTGGAGCTTAGCAAGATGGAGGCAAGGAGAGAGGTCAGCCGGAGGTGGCTGGGGCCAGATGTATAGACCCTGGTATGGACATGGGTTTCTTTTTCCAAAGGACAATGTATGTAGTATAATGGGGAAGAGGCCATTGACAGTTTTTAAGCAGGCGAGTGTCAGGTTTGTATTTTTAAGATTTGTCTGGGTGCTATGAGGACAATAGACCGTAGGGGGGCAGCATAAATGCATAGAGCCGTGAGAAGGCTATTTCAGTCCTCCAGGTAAGAAGTGACCATTAAAATGTTACGGTGAGGGAGGGGTGCCCGGGTGGCTCAGTTGGTTAAGCGCCTGGTTTTGGCTCAGGTCATGGTCTCACGGTTTGTGGGTTCGAGTCCCCACGTTGGGCTCTGCACTGACAGCGTGGAATCTGTTTGGGATTCTCTCCCTCTCCCTGCCCCTCCCCGGCCCCCTCCCCTGCTCACACACATACTCTCTCTCTCTCCAAATAAATAAGCTTTAAAAAATAAATCAAAATGTTGCAGTGAGAGAAGTGGACAGATAGATTCAGGACATGTTTTAGAGAGAGAGTCAACAGGATTTAGGGATGGATTGGATTTAGGGATGGATTGGATTTAGAAGGTGGAAAGGGAAAGGAAGAAATATACCCAGCTATGTGGATAGTGGTATCATTTCCAGCAAAAAGGAAGATTAGAAAGACAGATTTCAGAAAACCAAGAGTTTTATTTTTGACATACAGGCACGCACATTTTATTGAACTTGGCTCTATTGCACTTTGCAGAGATTGAATTTTTACAGGTTGAAAGGTTGGGGCAGCACCGCGTCAAGCAAGCCTGTCCGCACCATTTTTCCAACATTTGTTTACTTCTGGTCTCTGTGTCCCATTTTGGTAATTCTTGCAATAGCTTGAGTCTTTTCACTATTATTATATTTGTTATGGTGATGTGTGATCGATGATCTTTGATGTTGTTATTGTAATTGTTTTGAGGTGTCACGAACCACGCTCATATAAGACAGCAAACTTGATTGAAAAATGTGTGTGTTCTGACTGCTCTATGAACCAGCTGCTTCCTCTCTTTCTCCTCAGGCTCTGCTATTCCCTGAGACACAGGAAACAATATTGGAACGAGGCCAATTTATAACCCTACAATGGCCTCTAAGTGTCCAAGTGAAAGGAAGAGCCAAATGTCTCTCGCTTTAAATCAAAAGCTAGAAATGATTGAGCTCAGTGAGGAAGGCTTGCCAACAGCTGAGATGGGCCGAAAGCTAGGCCTGTTGTGCCAGTTAGCCAAGTCGTGAATGCAAAGGAAAAGTTGTTGAAGGAAATTGAAAAGTGCTACTCCAGTGAGCACATGAATAATAAGAAGGCAAAATAGCCTTATTGCGGATATGGAGAAAGTTTGAGTGATCTGGAGAGGAGATCAAACCCGCCGCGACATTCCCTTAAGCCAGAGCCTAATCCAGATCAAGGCCCTGGCTCTCTTCATTTCTATGAAGGCTGAGAGAGGGGAGGAAGCTGCAGAAGGAAAGTCTGAAGCTGGTAAAGGTTGGTTTATGAGGTTTAGGGAAAGACGCCATCTCCACAGCATTGAAGTGCAAGGTGAGGCAGCGAGTGCTGATGTAGAAGCTGCAGCAAGCCTTCCAGAAGATCTAGCTATGGTAACTGATGAAGGTGGCTCCGCTGAACGACAGATTTTCAACGTAGATGAAACAGCCTCCTATTGGAAGAAGATGGGATCTAGGACTTTCATAGCTAGAGAGGAAAAGTCAGTGATCAGCTTTGAAGCTTCAAAGGACAGGCTGACTCTCTTGTTAGGGGCTAATGCAGCTGGTGACTTGAAGTTGAAGCCAATGCTCATTTTTGTTCCAAAAATCCTTAAAAACTATGCCAAATCTACTCTGCCTGTGCTCTATAAATGGAAAAACAAAGCCTGGATGAAAGCACGTAAGTTTACAATGTGGTTTACTGGATATAGATTTTTTAATGTTTATTTTTTAGAGAGAGAGAAAGCGAGCGAGTGACCACAAGTGGGGGAGGGGCAGAAAGAGGGGGAGACCGGGGATCCGAAGTGGGCTCTGTGCTGACAGCAGTGAGCCCGATGTAGGGCTCGAGCCCATAAGAACCCACAAACTAGGAGATCAGGACCTAAGCCAAATTTGGACACTCAACTGACTGAGCCACCCAGCCACCCCTGTTTCCTGAATATGTTAAGCCC